GAAGGACTTCTTCTGGCAGCAGCATTTTGGATTAACTGAAGACTTTTTAAAGAAGTATTTGAACTCCCAGATAATAAAACATTGCAATAGTCCAGTCTAGACGTGTTGATGCTCAGATTTAATTACCTGAGATTAAGATGAAGATAAATAAAAAAGACTGCCATCAGAGTGAAATGTTTCCAGTTGCCTGAACTGGAACTAAATGAAAGATAATGAACAAAGAAAGGTGACACACAAAATGCCTTCTAGTATCAATTTTGTGTATTACTTAATTAAATGTGCTAACATTATTTTTTAATTTTTATTTTCCCCCTTGTCCTGTCTGGGATTGTGACACTCAGAATTATTGTCTGAGTGTCAAAGTGATGCCCAACAGATTTACTTTCACAAGCAGAGCATTATGGCTGGCCTTAATGCTCCACTTGATATATAAATAAAACTTTATTAGAATTTGCTTTGGGTTTGTTTCAGATGTAATGGACACGGGGATGAAAAAAAAGAAGAAAACAAAGCAGAAAAGTGAGAGAAGGGTTAAAAGGTAAAGAAAGAGATAGGAATAGAGGAGAAAGAGAGAGAGAGAGGGATGAAGAGAACACAAATCAACATCATTGAAGTCTGCCTCTAAACCTGCGGAAAGAAAAAAAACAAGACAAAACCGAGAAACCACAACACCAAACAACATATAATGATACTTATCACATCATTAGAAAGTATTTTATACAGTACATGGTAATAATACAAGATATATTTAGTGGCCTCCACAACCCAACTGAGTGTGTATCTGATAAACACTTGGATCTAAACACCTGTGTGAGCATGCTTGTCACTATAAGGTTTCTCCATAAAAATGTTCGATAGTGGATGTGGGGACCCACAGGACACGAAGGTATCACAGGGATAACTGGAGCCACAGACACACTGAGGGCCCCAAGCCCGGAGCTCCGGGAGTCCCCCAACAGGGACATCCGCACCCCCCCAGAGAGAGAGGCAAAGGGAAACCCCGGGCGATCCCCAGCAACTACAATGCAGAAACCCCAGGAGGCTGCAGCGACGAGTCCACAGGCCCCGCTAGCAACCCGCCCCTCCAGAGTAGATCCGACCATGGACACCGAGCCCCGAGTCCTGAGGTCATACCACCCCCCAACAGAGGCCCGAAAGAGCCAGGGCACCCAGGCCCTGGCAGGCAGCCACCAGGGTGGGCCTGCACACACCCCAACATCCAGCCCCAGATGCCGAGAGCTGCCAACGCACCGGCGGCATGGGGGCCCACCACCGGAGGGGATCGTGACAGGGGGAAGTAGACCCCACATTAAATGGGGGGCTCAAATTGATCCAATAGAGGAGACCGCCTAAAACCCAACCCGAGACATAAAAAG